AAAAAAAAAAAAAAATTTACTTTCCGGAAAGACTGTATAACCTCACATAAGTAGTTCTCATTAGTGACATGTCATATATTAATATCAGTTTGTGCTATACAAACTTACAAGCGTCCTTCTAGGCTCAGATTCACACCCATGTATTGTCTTTGAGTACTATGTCATCGAACTCTTTTCATTGACGGAACATATTTCTTGTATATCAGATCTTCATCTAAATGTGTTGACGAACTGTTGGGAATACAAAAAAAAGGCTTCGTTCTGTATCTTCACTATCAAAAGATGGGCTCTTCTTGCTCTATATTTTCATATTTGGCACATCTCCTTACGGAATTGAAGAATGGTCTCAGAGAGTATAGGACATATTTATGAAGAAACTCCAGGTGGTTCATCTCCCAGCTGTACTTTTGTGTCATGATTCATTATAAACTCACGCATAATATTGATACATTTCTTCTAATTTTATATAAATACCCTCATTTATTTTTATTTAATCAATAATCACATTATTCTTATTGTCGTCTATTCCCTTTTCTCTACTCATCTATATTTACCGCCAATCGTCTCGCTCTTACCTCATAAGTTCTATTCTCTGTAGATCAATCTTCAAGCCCTTAATGCCACCCTGTCTTGTCTTTGTTAGTTGCACTATCCAGTATCCTAGCCCCTACTCCGGTTCTTTTCTCCTCCTTTCCTAGCTGAAAATACAACTCATTAAAAGATTGTAACGCAAACAGAAGCGTCTTCAGCTCTTGAACATTGACAGAATGTTCTTTTTCTTCTTTTATCCACACTCTGAGTGCTTTCATTACTCTGGATGCGATCCTCCCTATCCTGTATCCAAGGTTTTGGTATAAGCTCTTAGTTCCAGTTTCTGCAAGAACCTTGGGGCATTCTAATCGGGATGTCTATTCTTCATTTCTACTTGTTGGGCTACTAGGCTAGTTCCTCTTTCGTAGTAGCCTCTGACAATGTACACAGAGTCTCCCAAATTATATGTATGTCTTGGTCAAAAACACACATATCATCCAGACAATACATTATCCATATACCTCGATTAATTCCTCTAATATCGGAATACCCTCCTTCCTTTCTTCCATCTTGGAATGGTGGAAATTTCTCTACAGCTTCGTCCACTGCTTTGTTGAGCCACAAGTGATAAGCGGAAAGATCTCAATCTCCCATGGTCCTGCATCTTCTCTTTCCATTGGCGACGGGAAACAAGAACCACAAACCCAGCTTCTATATTTGTCCATTACTTCAGATTGGATGGAGGAGGCAGAGGGAAGATCAAGCGGAAGATCCATCATCGTCATCATATGGCGAGCATTGTCGATGCTGCCAGAGACTCATAATTTTTTTCCGCTGCTATATCATTATTTGGTACCATGGTGAAATGGTTACTGTCTGATATAATCACTCTCTCCAAAGTCCATTAACTGCTCCAGTAAAGTGCGGGTTTTGCGGAAACCTCTCTTCTTCTAATACAGCTGATCGACGCTAGCTTTTGGCCTCTCTCAAAAGCTTTCGATGGTTGGCGTGGTTGACGTGATACTTGTCTTCGTTAATGTTCTTCGCAATCTCAATATTGTTCAAATCGTCAGTTTTGTCGGCAGAGGTACAGGACTCCCTCAAGTCGGCCTCATCATCTATGGCAGAGGGCTAGAACTTTACTGTTTCTTGTTGCTGATCGACACTTTTGAGATAAAGTCTTCCCAAAAAAGAAAAAAAAATCAATATTGCATCAGCTTGGTAATAGTATTTGCTACCATTTGCCGGAAAAATCTTTGACCAAATATCGACAGCATAATCCTGTTTCGTAAATTTGCTTACTTGTGTTTTGAAGTATTGCCTGCTTCTTATGCCTTAATTTGAAGACCAAATATGAGTGTGAAACGTGTTATTTAAAGAGTTGTATCTGTTAAAGACATGTAATTACTGTACATCAAAGCAAATACTGTGAAGAAGGCTCTCTTCTTCCGTCATTGTGACACGTCATTCGGGAAGTATAAACATTTTTTATATGCCCTTTTCTGTCGTTGGCATTGTTGTATTTGGCTGACTATAATTTGAAGAAGAAAAAAAGATAATTTAGAGAGTCTATGGACGCGGAGTCTATAGATCCCCCTCCAAAAAACCGTCTGGTTTGTGTGATACTTGCTTCGTTTGTCCTTAGGGTCAAATTCTCTACTTAAAAGACTCTTCTAAACTAAAGGATAGAGTATACTACATCTTTCATATTCACTTTGACAACTTTATGATTGAATGTCGTTCCCAAGTGACTAAATGTTTGTCACGTTAATAAACTTGAACTTCGGTTACATATAAAAGATATTGTTGTTGCCTGAAGTACGCTGAAAACAAAGGAGCTGATGTTTATGGCTTCAATTGGCTTGGGTTATTCAATATCCATATTTTTGTCGTATGGCTCATGATAGAGCATGCATATTGCTTACTCCCTAATGGTGTTAACCACCACTATTTTTAAAGTTGTTTAAAGAACACCGGATAGTAGACAAGATATAGACCAAGGTAGGCTGCAATTTCTAAAACATACTTCACCAAAGTGCCATCAGATTTTCTTCATTTCTTAGGCTTGCGCAAAGACAGACGAAGGAAATGTTCAGTCGACTTTTGGAATTAATTATGCACAGCACTCACTAATACCGTTCATAATTAAGCACCATTTCAAATAAATGAATATCTTCATATATAACTTATATATCTGTACCAGAAATGCATACAATCTATATGTTACAAGCTTGCTTTGTTTGATAACATTACATGTCATTTTTTGGGACAACATAATAGGGCATCTGAGGTTTGGTAAGCCAGGGGTTAAAGCTATTTTAGATAATATCTTCCTCATGTGCTCATATTCATTCATTGCAGTCTTAAGGAAGACTGATATGGTATTTGATTACAGTTCCCTTTGCTTGCAAAATTATAATGGTCTGTCTTCTTTTTTTTTTCCTGGATAACGAGAGGGTAAGTATGTTATGTCTGCAATATTCAACCATTGAAAGCGTGCTAATTTTTTTTAATGTTTATGTTAAAGAATGTTTAACTGTGACCAGTTTACATTTTACAGTTTATCCAACACAAAAATCTGATGACACTTTGGTAAATGCTCTTAGAAATTGCAGCCTATCTCGACCTCTATTTGGTATTATAATTAAAGGCTTACTTTGCCTTTAACATATGAATTTATACTGCCAACATCAAGATTATTTCATTTTTTATCAATGCTCGTTTATTATTATATACGCATTAGATAATAAGTGTATAAGGGGAAGAGTAAGAGAAAGAGATATAGTAAGGGAATATACATGTAAATGGATTGTCTATAAAGGGGATAACATATTTATAAAGTATGCGTATACTTCTAAGAAAGAAGAGGAATAGTTGAATTAAGTATTAGAGTTAGGTATGTGTAAGAGATGTCTGTGCAGGTATAGTCTAGAAGAGAGCAGAGGATGCAGTGCTTAGAGGAGCGCAAAGATAGCAGCTGTAGTGGAGAGTAATACAAGAGTACCTGCAGCCAGAGAAGAGGCATCCGAACTTTGGCTTTGTGCTGTTACTTTACCGTCTTGACCAATAAGAGTAATACTAGCAACAGCAGTATATCCAGCCAAACCATTTCCCAATGTGACAGTAGCGCCTGATGCATGGGTAGTAGTAGGAGGGGTCAGAGGAGCAGCAGCCTTGGAGATAACGAATGGCTCAGAGGAAACACTGCAAAAAAAGAAAGAAAAACATGGTTAGCCATGAGTTGCTTTACAAATATATGACGGCAGACTTACGTTTGGTTTACAGGATAACTGATTTGGATAGTATATGTCGTGTTATCATCCTTGACTAAATCATTGGGAATCTGCAAGCGATAAGAGAAGAAAAGAGATAAGTCTCTTGTGCTAAAATAACTAGATTATTCAACTTACAGCCCAAGCATATTCACTAATTGTACTGTTCAATCCTTCGACAATAGATACTTTGCTATCACTAGAAATAGCTAGGATGTCGATCAAGGGAGCGGCATCTCCATGAACAGTCCAATGGATGGTCAGATTACTACCAGCAGTAGCACCAGAAGCAAGGGACTGGACACTAATGGCAGAATCATCGCGTTTTTCGATAGGCATAGCCATTACCAAGGAAGAGGAGAAGATAGCAGTAGCAAGAAAAAAAGAAGTAAGCTTCATATTGATAGAATGTGTTTATAGAGTTGTATTTGTATATATGAAAGAAAGGCAAAGATAGACTCAAGACATTCCTTTTATATGAAAAGAGAGAAATGTTGATCCGCTCTTTATTGACATATGATTTCTACCTATTTTTGACATATTTGTCTTGAATAAGCAAAAAGTGTAACCCCATAGCTTAATGGCTTAATCTTCACATGTCTATAGGCATACTACCATAAAAGGCAAACAGCGTTACGGATCGGATGCAGGTCATAAAGTCGGAACAAAACGGTTTTTTATATATACACAAAATCACTTATCAAAGTGTAAAATAAAAAAGAAACAGAAAGAGAGTTGAGGGCATAGTTTAAATGACAGACAACAACTGCGATAGAAACAGCAGCACCAATGGTAATGAAATGGTTGCCATCGACACTGAAACTATGCATTAGCTGTCAAAAGTGCATTTTTTTCCCACTGGCAAAAGCAAACAAAGAGTGGGCCGTGAGCATAGAATAGATGTATGACAAAGTAAAAATGTAGCGTGTCCTATTATCAATTACATAACCTGATCTTCCAAAAAGGCGATGCAGTGTAACCTGTAAGCTTGCAGCGATTGGGGACAATAAGCGCCGACGTTCATTGGCTCCCCTTTTTTTTTTCATAATCACATTCACTATGAATAAAGAAAAAAAGAAGGATTATTGTGTCATAACTTTACGACGGTCAGGCCAGTCTTTGGGATGACTTCATATCATTCATGCGTAGGCTTTGTCTAGAATCACCTCTTCCTTTCTTTTTTTTCCCTTCTAGATAAGGCAGCTTGTCTATTTGTCATTGCGGGTAATCTCTCTCATTTTTGGAATTTAGGCTGCTTGTGTCCTTTTTCAGCAGCGCTTAAACTTTTTTGCTAGATCAGATAGAAAATCGCGTTGTTTGTAATCTATCCAGATTTAACCTGCAGACGCCCCCCCCCCAGTGCTGGCCATTACAGATCCTGCTGAAATTCATCTGCTCATCTACGTCAATACTACACATGATCGCTATGGGGCCCATTACTTGGAGTATGACAATATATGCTGCTCTTTTGGGTAATTACTACTTAATATTTTGGGGCCACAGACCATCGTTTACAACGGTAGCACTGTGTGGCTAGATTGCATAATAAGTGATGCTTCGTATGAACACTCTGAAGTACAAATGTATTTATAGACATCGCATGCTATGCATATGCTAAGTGCTTATCTTGGAACAGGTATTTACTTTTGTTGAGAGAAGCATGACCTTTATCATACAATAGTATATATTATGTAATGGTTTAGAGACACAAGACAAAGACAAAAGAAGTACTCTTTGAGACTAAACTCTATTCTGAGATAAAGACAGAAGGAGCATACAATTAAATAAAGGATCTACTATTTATAGTTGCTATCAAATGGCTGGTAAGCACTACTCTAAGCGTGGATTATAATTACTGAGGATATAATTGACTAACGGCTCCTAAGTTCATAAAGAAAACGTTTAACTCGTTTCTGACACTGATATTATTGTTCATTACATAATCTGGGTTATGATGCTGCTTTTACCATAAGAAGGATCATCTGTTAGAGAAGTGTATCCTTTTATGTAAAGAAGTAATGATTTACATTCAAAGGAGAAATTCTATTTAATTTGACTTATCACTAAAAGTGTGTACATACAATCTTAAAATGCGTAAATTCACTCTATTCATACTGATTACAGTCGTGTATGTCAATGTCAGCTATAAGCAGGCATTGTTCTACGACAGATACAATATCGTGTGAATACATCAACTATTATTAGCAAGTAGTTATTGCCGTTATGTGATGTCGCAGACACAGGATCAGCTGTATCAATACATATATGGTACATAGGGTTTTCTGCGTATATCGACTGCAATGGACGGAATCCATGTTTAGCAATATTGAATTTTTGGCAGGCAGAACACTGTTTGACTGTTTTTAAGGTATCTTCTTTTATATTGTTCCAATGTAGACCACCATTGTGGAGTGCGTCTACAAGTGCTTTTGAGTAGCAGTGTACATGTTTGATATGCGTGGTTTCTAATAGATTCTTTCTCTCGGTTTCGTACGGTCTAATTGATTCAAGAGGTTTGAACATTCTGATGGCATGATTATTATTAGTATTATTTTGTTATTTTGTTTCTTAGTTTGTCTATTATCCTCTTCTAAAGGTTGTTCGATTTCGAACAAGCAGGATAGTGCATCACGTAAAATATTTTTGATACCAGGTCGATGGTAGATAGTAAAGTTATAATTGCAGATGGCATCAAGCCAGTTGACAAGCATTGGATTGAGGATTTCTTGTGTATGAATGTAGGCCAAGGTTTTATGATCTGTATATAGGTAGAACTTATTACCCCAGAGGTAGGTGTGAAATTTCTTTAAAGCATAAACTATGGCCAATAGTTCACATTTTGTAACTGAATAGTTATACTCTGATCTATTGAGAGCACGTACCATGAATCCAATGTAACGTACTTGATTGTCGATGACTTGATAAAGACAAGTGCCAATACTGTAATTGCTAACATCAGTGACTACGCGAAAAGGTATGTTGAAATCAGGATTGTGGAGAAGTAGAGCTTCAGCTAACAATGTCTTTAGTGACATGAATATGTGTTGAACTTCTGTGGTGTAGAGATCATCTAATGCGCTTGCAAAGCGCAACTTGTCTAGTGGTGCAGGTACTTGGGCAATATTTGGAATAAATTTGCGAAAGTAGTTATATAGACCAAGGAAGCGTTAAATATCTTTACCAGTCTTTGATGCAGGCCATTTTAGAGCATTACAAACCTTATGAGGATCAGAACTAACGCCTTTTGCGTTGATACAGAATCCCAACAGATAAACAGCTTGTTGCGCAAAATAGAATTTATCTGGATTGAGAATCAAATTCACTTTGGCGAGGCGTTGTATGATTTCTGCAATGTGTTGAATGTGCTCATTGAAAGGTTTGAAATAGATCATGATATCATCAACAAATGCAGTTGCAAATGAACAATTCTGTAGAACAATATTGATCACTTGTTGAAATTTTGAGGGGATAGATTTTAAGCCAAAGGGACAACCAATAAAACACTACTGGTTACCCTGGAAGGCGAAGGACGTTTTAACTTGGTGTGGCTCGTGTACTTTGAATCCATGGAATGCTTGTCGTAAGTTTAATGTTGTGAATATAAGGCTACCACAAAGTTTTTCAAAGATTTCATCAATATGTGGCAGAGGAAATTTACCGTCAGATAACAGAGCATTGATCAAGTGAGGATCTAGGCAAGGTCGTAGTCCTACGAGATTACCTTGGTTGTCCTTTTTAGGAGCAAACGTAAGAGGACTATTCCATTCTCTATTGTCTGGAGCACGGCGTATAATTCCATCAGCCAGCTATTTATCTATGCACTCTTGCAGTACTACACTCATTGAAAGGGGAAAAACATTTTTGCCATGACTGTCAGGGATAAGGTTACACATACATCTTTCACAAAATTTGTCATGTATTTTCTCATGCTTACTTTAGATATTTAAGTCGCACCTTTTTTTCTCTTTATTTTAACATTGTCCATTATGCGCCTTAATCCTACCTCGACATACACTATTCCAGTTCATCCTGCGACTGAAGGATTCGATATACAAAAGCTAGCCGTAGAAAAGCATGAGTTCCCTGCACCTGCACCTGCAACGCAAAAGATAGCTTTCTTATTTTCGCACTCTAATGGATTTCATAAAGAGTCTCTTCATCCTTTAATTAGGCGACTAAAGGATAATTTACGTGCAATGAAAGAATATGACCATACAGATATTCATGTCTTTGCTTGGGACGCTCGTGGCCACGGTGATTCGGCTCGCTTGAACGATGGCATAACCGTTCCAACATGTAATCCAAGAATAATGTAAAATGCTATCAAGAAATAACATCTATATTCAATCTTATAGATCGATGGTTTGATAATGCATTGGATACAAAGCAAGTTGTTGATAAGATGAAATTGAAAAAGTATGATCAGTTGATAGGAGTCGGCCACAGCCTTGGAGCTACTTCCATGTAAGATGCATGATTGAATTATATCTTTATGAGGATACTAATAGAGACATAAAAGGATATTAGTAGAGTTCTTCTTTCCTCATACGTTTGATGGACTTTGTGTAGTTGAACCAGTCATGAGTCGTCTCTTCTACCCTATGGAGATTAAGCTACGTTCTCCCATACTTTCTTCAGGAAAACGACGAGATGAATGGCAAAACAGGTAAATCTAAAAAAAAAAAGAAGAGTTTATTAAACAGAAAGACGATATTCATCATAAAGGTATGTAGGGAAGAATGTAAGGCTTCTTTGTTGAAGCGAAAGTTTTGGAAGTTGTTTGATCCGGAAGTATTAGATCTCTATGTTGTAAGTATCTTTAGCATATATACATGCCTTCTGTGATACTTAATAATGAATATGATTGTAGGATTATGGTATGTATGATACAGATAAAGGAACAATCAAATTAAAGTGCCCAAGGGAACATGAATACGTAGAGTATATGGCAATATATGAAGAACAATGCCTCTAATCATTTCTTTATATATGTAGCATGTATTTAGACATAGTAGCTACGATACCTTTACAGCATACAACTCGTTAAAGATAATAACGATACCCATTCACTTTGTTTATGCTCTCGATTCAGATTTGTAAGTCTTTTTTTTCCATCCAGAGCGAGTAATTTACCTCTATATATAGTGTAGCGCCTGAGGATACACATACGGTCGTTGATCAGAACCCAGCAAAGATTACAGTCCAACATATTGAAGGAACACATATGGTTGTTAATGAAAAGCCTGATCTTATCAGTAAGCCCAGTGTGTCGTATTTGAACAATGCCGTTAACTAATTCTCTCTTTCTTTTACAAAAACTTAGCTCCTCAAATCATGGCATTGATCGATCGTGTTAAGCAAGAAAGCAAAAATGGCAAAGGACAAGCCAAACTTTAGAAGTTTATATATATGTATATTTATGTATATACAGCCTTTTGTCTATTGCAATAAAAAAAAGAAACCTAAATCTCTTGTATTTTTGCTGTTGAACCTGCTTTCTGATATTCTCTTATCGCACGTTGTGCCGCCTCACGATCTTGTTCAAAATCCGTTTTCTCGATTTCTATCTTGGACAAAATACTCCTAAGAGACGCCAACACGAGCTCCAGATCCTCAAAAGCACAGGCCGCAGCCCAGTAAAAATAAAGTTTACGGACAGCCAAGCCCACGCTTCTTTTCTTTCTTTTTTTCGATATTTGATCAAGAGCAAGCCAGAAATCAAACATGGCTCGTTTACGCTCAGGAACGAGTTTCAATAGATCATGAATAACCAATATCTTCAAGTCGTATCTCGCTGTTGCTGCTGCCATTTTGCGCTTTGCTGGACTAGACTGCTCCTGAAAACGCAGAATACGCTCAACGATATCATCAATCACTTCGTGTATACTGCCAAAGGGACATGATGCTGCTGTTGAAAACAAGATTTCAGCCGATAATGTCTCGATCACATGTACTGTATCTTGTATATCCTCTAGTAATTCACCCATGGAGTGGCGCATAAGATAGCTGTAGGTTGCAAGAATATGTATCATGTTCCAAATCAGATGCGGGCTTTCTCGAGCACTAGGCTGTGTCATTTTGCTAAAATCAGGCAAATTATCGGGAAGCTGTGGTATACGGTGATCATCACTTGTTGGTTCTGTTATATCTTGAATCCTTGATTGCTGAATGATAATCCACCAGGGTATATAGTCAGGTAAGTCAAATTTATGCCACGTATCATCTAGCTTAGACACCATTGATCTAAACTCTTGCCTTTCTTTCTCTGAAAGCATACTCCATATTAGTTCTGGATCTGCATTATCAATATCCAGGTCATTAAATTTTTCTAATAGTTCATCATATTCATCGTCTTCTAGCACGTCCTCTTCAACTTTTTCTTCTTCTAAGCGTTTCAGCATCTCTAGCATCTTGTTTTTGCTTTCTTTATCAATCTCTCGACTCTTTATCTCTTCTGTCACGCTTTGTTTATAAAATGATTCTGTACAATCAGCGTGGCGCATGTCTTTATAGCAAGCTAATGAACAATAACGAAGATTGCATCTCGGACAAACATATTTCGAAAACTGTTTCTCACAGCTAAGGAAAAGTATATGAGTTTGAATTTTCTTTGAATCAAAAAGGCATACATTTCACATAATGTTTCTTGTACAGGCTCAGGTGTGTCTTGCTCTATAATTTTTAATTCCATTTTTAAAAAAGAAAAAGAAAGGAAAACAAAAAGTAGTCACCTTCTCATATTTTTGGGCTGTAACTGCCAAGGTTGTATGTGCGCGGGGGTACAAAGTTTTGAGCACATATAAAAAAATACCATTCCCTTTTTTAATTAATTTCATTTTTTTTTTTTCTGCATTATGAATAGATATAATAAAAATGGATTCGCTGTTGAAGAAGACAATAACAGTGCGATATTAGATTTTTTGGATATAGAGCAGCAACCCATGCTAAGCGACCAAGATGAAACAATTTATAGTGGCTCTCAGATGCCCACAAATCGACCTAAAGCCTGGAAACAGTTATTTCCTCGACTCTTATTGTTCATTATCATCGGAGTCGTCTCCTTGTTATTTTCATTATCACTAGCCAACAGCATATTAGACATCGGATTACCTCGAACCCTTGAGGATGTTCAAGCAGTCGCCGTCAAACTCGACAGTATGCTATCCACTTCATGGACAGGTTATGAGTCTGTGACTATTGTCTTTGCTGTTCTCTATCTCTGGCAACAAGCCTTCTCTATCCCAGGCTCTGTCCTGCTCAATCTTTTGGCCGGATATCTCTATGGTATTGTCATGGGTACAATCTGGACAAGTCTTCTGACTGCAGGCGGAGCCACACTGGCCTATGGATTAGCAATCTTGGTCGGCGAGCCACTGATCCAGTTGCCCTGGATAAACCGTCGCGCCGAGCCACTTCGACGCCAATTGGAACATGAGAAACGCAGCGGAAGCTTATTTTGGTGGTTACTCTTTATTCGCCTATTCCCATTTTCTCCTTACTGGTTCATTAACCTCGTGTCTCCCTTACTGGGCATTCCTGTCTCTCCCTTTTTCTGGTCGACGTTCTTTGGCGTACTGCCTTATAATTTTGTTTGTGCACAGGCTGGAGATGTCCTGGGTGATTTGACATCCACATCGGATATTGTGTCCGTGTCGCTGGTATTTAAGTTGATGATTGTCTCCTTGGTCTCTTTGTTGCCCATTGTTTGGGGAAAGAAGATTCAAAAGTGGGCAAGACGAACATTCAAACTTGCTTCAGTAGATGACGACGATGTAGAAAAGACGAATGACGTGGAGCTTAATCATAGAACACCTTTAGAATAGATACCCCCTTACTTTTTCCCTACTAGTTCTGTCTTTTGTTACACTATACAATAATATCATCATGTAACTGCGTTTGACTTTAACATATTTTTTTTGGTTTGACGCCTAGAAAATTGGATTTTATAATGTGTGAGTTACAGGAACGGATACTGGTCAAAAGGAACCATTTTATTTAATACAAAACATTGTGAAGAACTGCATTTGGCTTTATAAAAGTCTTCAGTTTAACCAAGTGCAAGGTCACCAAACATACACTCCACAGAAGAGGGCTGACCATTGATATAGGATTTAACTTTGCATTTATATTGTCCTGATGATGATTATCTCTTGGTCTGATACACTTCAGATTCTTCTTCAAGACCAATGAATCTCAAAAAGTATAAAACTCATTGTTCTCAGGAACATTTAAATTGTTTTCTTAGTGGTGAAACTGCGAGTAGTTGACACAATGCCTCCCTAATTCAAGATTATGAATACATCGACTTATAGCAGTCAATGCATATCCTATGCAAATGTAATAGAATTGACTTTATAAAAGATGACGATAAGAAAGCCTTGTTTTGTCATTGAAAGGGTTCCTAATTCATGCATTCACGTTACACGCTGTACCAATAAGAAAAAGCGAAGACCAATATTAGGCGCATGCCCTAAAAATGATATAAGTTACGTCACTTTTTTTTGGTTTTTTCCACTTACTAAATTAGTAGGCCTAATGAAAAGGCTGGATGACCTGCTTTAAAGACCCTGCACAGCTTGTGTGCCTCTCTGAAGCGACTCTGATCTTGACTAAATGTTAAAATTAGAAGAAATATAATTTGTCAATATTGAACGGATATTTCTTGCTGCATTCACGTCTAGATTCCAGATCTATTCGAGTATCATTAATTTGGAGTTGTTGAACAGATAAAAACAATCTTACTCTGACTGCGTCACCAACTGAACAGTAGTGACATATTTTCAATGGGTAGATGCTGTTACTTCTTTCTATATTTACTGTTTGCCAATCTTTTACCATTCTAAGCGTTCTTGTCAACTACCTGCATTTCTGCGCTCAACGTACTTACTGCTCTTGCATGTTACTTTGTTGTCGGATCCTAAACAGCTTAACCTACTTTTTCTTTCATTGGGCAGTATCCTCTTTCTCTTTCTCTGTAAACAGTTTATATCAGTCATTCTTAAAACATTAGATAAATGTAATAAGTCATACCTGTGATTACAGATCAAAGCGCTTTCTGGCTCATAAGCCTTCTGAAGTTCACCATGGCAGCTACCACACATTACGCTTGTTCTGTATTCATCTATTTTAATGACTAAACATTTCTTTGAAAGTGCCATTTGGATCTCCTTGAAGATCAATAAGTTAGCTGTCCAAATTCAGTAATAGCCACATAGTATTAATAATTACCTTCACCAGAATTGGGGCTCTTGACTTCATCGTCACAGAAATAGATGCATCCCCATATGCAACTACACATCGTCTATCTTCTTCAGCCACTGACAGATATTCCTTTATTTTTTCCTTCCTTTTCTTGTGTGTCTTATGAGTCAGCATAGGCGGAATTGGTTTTCTTTTATCTAGTTTACCGATTATCATGTCGGTAACATTGTTCAGGGCTATTCGCTTGTTCGAATGCTATATCCTCGATTCCCTCGATGCTTATAACTTTTATTAAAGTTGAATATCCTACAAAAATTAGCGTATCAAGGAGTATAATCAATTGAGACACATGACTTTTTGATGGAATCTGATTTAAATTGACAACAGCTTACTTGTAGTTTGTGTAAATAATAATAAATTAATATAAAATATCATACTTTTCCAATTTCGTGTATAGTTTTAGTTTAAGAAGAAAAAATTCAAGTTCTTATAGGGGTATTCAGGTTAGTGTAACCGCTTGTTCTGTTTTGGAAACATGCTTCAATGAACTGTTAGATTAGTTAACTACGTGAAAAGAATATCAGTCTTCAAGAGGAATACAGTCTCCATCGTACACAAAAGTTCATACCATAGCCATTCTTTCTTTAGACATGGCGATTGGATAAAAACAACAACAGCAAGCTTAAACAGATAGTCACTAGGAGTATTCTATAGAAGGGTTTTTATAATTAAAGCTTTTTAATACAATCAATAAAGATGTTTAGGATAATGGAAATATGTAAGGTAGAAATAAGAAAAAGATAGAAGTACTGCTAGAACTGTGTATATCCTTTTGAAAGAAAAGATATAAGAATATGATACCCTTATTGATATGAAAAATCCTCTATATATACTTTTTCTTCAACAGGTAAATCTAGTTGTGGTATTTACACGCTAGATACATCGTATACATAACATATATTAGTTTAGAGATTCACCTATATAAATGGTCTAGAAGTCTTACTGAGATATAACTGCAAGGATAACACTTTGATATTAAATGAAAAACCTCCACAAAGTGTAGAAAAGTAAAACCCTTACACATCAATAACCATATATAAGTCAATAAGACATTTACTTAATAAACGCACTACTCTTTTGTCCTATTGATTTTTACGTTTAACACTTTTTATATTCAACAAATATCACAATAAGAAATAAAGCTTGGTTTTGCAAATGCAGGATATTTTCTTGTAGTGCGTGCACTACATTTGTGGCTGCATATTAAAAAAGTGGCATAAGCCGTAGTGCGCCTAAAATTACTTAAAAGCTAAAGACTTGGTTGTGACGTAAGGGTTCTTTTTGTTTTGTTTTTTTTCTTTTCTTTGAAATGACATTTCAACACTAATGAGTGAGCACCGTTCAGCTAATGAAGCACAGAATATCACTGATTTGAGCAGTCTTCAGGATATCTTTACTTTTCAGTTTGTCCAAGGACGTCCGATAACAAATATAATCATGGCTATTCTTTGGAGCATTGGGTTGCCTATCCTATTATATGAACTACTCAAGCCAAGACTAGGACAAGTAGTTGCTATGATCATTGCTTCTTGTCCACCATTAGTCATTGTTATCTCGTAAGTAGTCATGATAATGATAAACTCAAATGTCGCTAATAATACAAGGCGTATGCTAAAGACGAGAAAACTCGATGTGCTAGGCTTTGTTGCCGGCATCAGTTTTTTGATATCTGGAATTATAGTAAGGCAACTTGTGATTTGATGAAAAAGTGTAACTTATTTTATACTAGTCTATTGCCCAACCCTCTCCACAGGTGTCTTCAATATGTGAATCTATTGTTCCTCTGCTCGTAGGTGTATTTTGTCTTATATCCTTACTACCAATCAAGATTGGTAAATTCGAATTACGTCCCCTTGTCTTTGAGGTCACAAGCCAATTGATGCCTCGGACAGAAAGAAATAAAGAGTTATCAACCAACGACAAGCAAAGACTCCATAATCCAAGGAATGCAGAGAATAAGGGTGGGCTGCTTGACTGGGTATATGGTCATATGGCAAAGATCAGAAATGACTTGAGGATCTTGACAGCGTGCTGGGGGATAGTGCTTGTTGTTGGGTTTATCGTAAAGGCAGTCATCGCATCCACTTCAACCGATGTCAGCAAGGCACAACACTTTGGGTACATCTTTTTTACTCTAGCCACCCTGGCTATGATGGCTGTATCTTTTATGTTTACAAAGCTAATGAAAAGACATGTTAAAGAAGAATCAGAACAAATGGTGAGGGAAGGTTGTAGTAATGTGCAGTGGGGTATAGAGGCAATGTCTATAGGCTTTAACCAAGTCACGGGCTAGATTTCCCCTTTCTCCCCTGGTTGTGCTACACGACCCTCAAACTCCCTCTTGACCTTTTTATTCATTGGCAGTCCTTGTGGGCTCCTTTGTAATTTATCATTCATCCAGTATAGCCATAATAAACTACCAGGCTCGCCTAGTTTCTCTAACTCTTGTTTTTCCTCATTCTCTTTCTCTTCTAACGTGGGTGGAATAGGGTTCAGGTAAGGCACGGCTAAAGTAGGGTCAGGGTATTTCTGAATGCTGGGTGGTTGAGTAGTCAAGGTAGAAGAAGACAATGCAGGTGTGTTCTTGACAGGCGCACCTCGTCTGCCCCTAAAGTTTGTATTCACCTTAACACCAGCAACAGGGAGTTGGTGTGAGAAGGGTTGTGCCTCACCTGTTGTTGTCTGTTTGACTGCAGGCAAGACACCTTGTGCCACTTCTTCCTTTTCCCTTAATGTCATATTTTCATACTGTTGTACCTGGTTCCACGCTTGATCTATATCCATGGTTTCAGGCGCTTTATTATCCTCAGATTTTATATCTAGGGCCTTTGGCTCTTCCTTGACTGTAGGTTCAACAGGCTTATGACGAGTCGCTCTTTCGATGCTTTGAGTAGTACTAAATGACGCTTTTGGTATCATTGCCAAGTGATGAGGGGCATATTTTGTCGGATTGATCTGAATCAAGTGATACAAAGGATTGGATGTAACAGAAGTCAAAAATTCATCTACGTTCAAGTGCAGATTGGGTTTCAGCACACTTTCTGCGAATTCTGTTGCCCCCAATTCACTCGACAGTCTCTTGGTCTTTTTCATTCCTTCTGGCTTCACCTCAACAAGTTCTAGTGACTGATCGATCATCCTTGAAAACTCTTCTTGAAGTTCATTATTGAAACAGTAAAGGTAGATGTTGTCTAGGAATAAGACTAAAATTAGATGTTGCTCAAAAAGGGGGAGGATAAGGAACATTACTATTTTCAGCCATTAAAACATGTGTCCATTTAGAAGTTTGGCTTGCCTCAGAAGTCATGAGGTATGAAATACTTCCTTTTAAAGTCATGTCTACATATACTTCTGTTGGTAAATCACGCATCTTCATAGGTGAAACGACGTGCCTGCAGGTACACCATTCTGAGCCTATATATTACATTTGTTTATATTGTAAGAATTACTTTTTTTATGTAGTTACCTTGAATGGCTCTTTTGCTTCTTTTGAGGTAAATCAAGCTTAATTGTCTTGAACTTAAAAAGTTTGGGTCATGAATAGGCTTATCTGTTTCTGTCTTTTTCCGGTTAATCAAGTGATGTCCTTCGAGTTTGTAATACAATGTTACTGTGTGAGTTGATTGCTGCTGTTCAGATGACTTTGGAGAACAATAAGCAAATGTATGTAACAATAGTGTAGAATTTACCTTCATTGGTATTTTTAGTATATTGAGCGTATCTACATCAAAATATAATTGTGCCAAGTGCATCATAGCCATATTCAAGTCATTGTAGCCATTGGGTATATTGTGAACGGATACAGTCAACTTGTCAGATACTCGTTTGTTGATGATGTTTTCAGGTAATTGTTCACAGTGAGAAAATAATCGAAGTACGTCGACTTGAACATGATCTAGGCTAGATAAAACGTGTTAGAGAGAGAGCCACCTTGAGCTTTTGTTTTTATCAGACGTACTTTGTATGTTTATCTGCCGCTTTATGTAATAGTATGCGAAGGTCTTTAGTCATTTCATTTGCATTATTACGAAATCTAGTAAGAGAGAGAGAGAGAGATCAATATCCCCTTTGCCTATATACTTTTCTTCTTACTCAAATAGCTTTTCATTGTTGTCCTTTGCAATCACGACCAACACTAAACGACAGCGATTTATGCTGCCCGTTTGTTGCTTTACAAACATGCTGAATACTTTATCTATGCTCAACTGTAATCTATCTTCGCGATAAGTTTCTCTGGGTTGAACAAGAGGAAACTGTTGTTGTAATCTATGAATTGTTTGTTGATCTATGTCATTGAGTACTATAGGTATTCTGCCTGCAACCAACACATTGATCTGATAATCACACACACGCAATTCAGTTACTTTTTACACATAAATCTGTGTCTTTCTTTTCTTACAGGATCTTTAGCAAGTGTCCAACCAATCCGACAGAATTCTAAAGTACTCTGTACCATACAACTCCATAATGGGTAAGGTGGAAGTTGATCTAGTAAAAAAAAACAAGTTAATGCTAAATAATAAAAGCCATGGTTTTACCTTTTGGCTCAAGTAGAGTGTTCTCTGGTCTTTGAGTGGGCGCAAATGCCCCGGGATGTCCATCGAGAATTAGAAATGTATGAACCATATTTGGAGGATTCTAAACAGAAGAAAAATTGTATGACACGAGTTTTCAAAGGCAGCTTTCGGCCTTTTGTATTAAAATGTCAATAGCCAAACCGGTGATGCTGATAGGTGTCTGTAATAGGAACAGACTGTTTATGGGCAAAACGGGATCGGGAAATAAGTGCGATAAAGGGGGCATTGTGTGGATAAATAAATTGCCCCGCCCTCCATCGGCAAACATGTATAAAAGGAGATTCTATTTCGTTCTTCTTTTTTCTTCATTGTAACTATGCTTGTCAAGGCTTTCCAAGAAGATTATCGACTCAATTTCAAAAACCATCAAGTCGATGGCCCTTCTTCTCCTCGTGATTACTTGGAATGGAATGCTAGAATACGCAAGTGGCGCCTTGAGCAGCAAGCAAAGAAGAATGAGTATGGTCAATCCACTACTGGTCATGATGTTCCTAGTCTTCAATGGGCTCAAAAGAGCTATGCTCAACACAATGTTATGCTCCATGACTTGTTTCTTTTTGACCCTGTCACTAATACATATACCACTGATAAGCTTTTGAAAGGTATATATGCCTAATGTGACTGTGGAGATGACTAAGTTTCTGTTAGATATCGAAGAACGTTATGGTGTCGTTGACTCTGTTGTTGTAAGTTACTTCAATCCATGATCTGCAAGATTTGTAACACACACCTTTAGATTTGGCCTTCTTTTCCAAATCTCGGCTGCGATAGTCGTAATGAGGAGGATTACTTTAGATGTCTTCCTGGCGGTACAGCAGCCATCAAGGCCTTAGTGGCTGACCTTCACCATAAAAATATCAAGGTGATCTTTCCTGTTCTCGGCTGGGATAACGGAACTGTAAGAACCAGAAAGAGCTTGTTTGTTTGTATAGCAGAAAATTCTTAATACGCTTCTTCTTGCATTAGCGTGACCCACAAGCCCCTTGGAGTTACATTTTACCAAGATTGTTTAGTAGGCGCCTTTTTTTTACAATAGCTTATATTCAATCTAATACTTTTCTTTTAGAGGAATTTAATGTTGATGGTATGGCTGGTGAGTTTTCTCACTTCCCTCAAGACTTTTGGATGAGCTCTCTTGCCATAGGTCATCCTCTGGTTTACGTTTCTCAAGCAAGTAGCAAACATAGTTTGAATCAGGCTTCTGAAGCAGATGATACTTTTGTAAGCTGTCAAAAATTAAGCATATTATTGTTTCTAACCGTTATCCCATTTTTGTATAGACTCTGCAATGGAACACAATGGACACAGGTAAGATCCATTTCTTTTCTTTGTTAACTTCTTCGTTCTAATTCTTTCTATTTAGCTAAATATGACACAAGCTCGTAAGTCATTTTTAAATGTTCAAAACTTCTTTTTTATTTACCAGCAAACAGACGCATCCCTACTGTTTCATCTCGAAAATTGATAGAGTCTAGACATATGACCCATGCATCGGATAAATGGTGCAGAAACAAAACTTCCTTGATCCAACATGCGTTCTTTAATGGTAAATTACACACATATCTATCTTTAAATACTAACATGCATGCAAAGGTATTGGCATTGAAGTCTGGGAAAACATCTTTGGCATCTGGAACCAACTTACTCCTCGTGATGCAGAAGCAATCCGTCGTACAACCAGCATCCTTCGTTGCTTTGGACCTGACTTTTTCACATCTCCCGAATGGGAACCTCACTGTCCATGTGTTCGATGGGAAACTGTATTTTCGAGCAAGTTCCCTAGTCGTAATGTCTCTGATCAATGCGTCTGGACCTTTGTCAACCGCGGGCCTGTTGTTGTCACCGGCCACCAGATGACTGTCAACTACCACATTGGTCTTCAGTTCTATGATGTCTGGCGTGGTATAGAAATCACACCTACGAATATTGTTGATGGCCTTGCTACTCTTAGCTTCGATATCGAACCCTATGGCTATGGCTGTATCTTTGCTACCTCAGACGTCTCAGCATTACCTTCTGGATTTGAAATACTCATGGAGACCATGAGAAAACGTTCAAAGATACCCTTGACAAGCATTCCTATCTCTAGCACTATCCTCTGGCAAGAACTTGATCAAGTGACTGTGAGTAAACTTGCACCCGAAGGCACCTGTGGTATGGTTCGTATCGAAGGTTGTGACAACTACGTCTTTACCGTCAAGGGCTTAGAGTCTCGTCCTGACTGTGCCTGTGAGTATCCAGGCATGGATATCAAATACCCTTGGGAGTTCCAACCTTCGAAAATCCATGCTCCTTACCGCATGAAGATCAAAACATTCTATATGGACGCATACCCTGTGACCGAGGCTCAATTCAAAGAATTTTTGGATGCCACAGGCTATAAGCCTCAAGACCCTACCAACTTCTTGAAGCACTGGATTTGCGGCTGTTACCCTGCTTCTCGTGCAAATAAGCCTGTGGTCCATGTGTCGATTGAAGATGCAAGAGCTTATGCTAAATGGGCAGGAAAACGGTAAAGACTGAAAATAATTTTTATTATTATTTCTAATTTCTTTAAAGTCTTCCTCATGAATGGGAATGGCAGTACGTGGCTCAAGCCGGTACAGAATACAAGACTTATCCTTGGGGCAACGAATGGGATGCATCTAAAGTTCCTGAAGTCTATAGTGGACGTGAAAGACTCTACCCGGATCATCCTCCTGCTGATGTCGATGCTTTCCCTAACGGTCGTTCATGTTTCGGCGTCTATGATCTTACAGGCAATGTCTGGCAATGGACCGACGTTTACCAAGACCAACATACACGTGCAGGTATGTTTCAATATCATTTATTAGCTTA